ATATATATATATATTTTTTTTTTTTTTTTTTTAAATAGGGGGACCAGAACTGTACAGAAAATACAAGGGGTGAGTAAAAAAATTAGCGTAACTGTTTTCTGCTTCACACATTCATATGCTGCCCAAGTTATTTTTCTGTACAGCCTAACTACCCATATGAAACAAAAAAAGTAGAGTTTATGCAGTATTTTACCAGGTTGCTATACTATAAAGTCCCTTAGATCTTTCTCCTACGTTTGTAATTAGTCCAAAATAAAGAGATCTCATTTTAATCATTAATGACCATGGTGAAAGCAGTCTAGATCTCATGATCCACCCAACATTAAGAGAAAGCCTAACCAAATGCTCGCCTACTTACATCACTTCGATTTATGCCTTAGACGAAGTGACAGTTGCAGAAACAGTCTTTCAAGTTAGGCACTCTTACGGAAGCAGGAGATAAGCATTACAGGCTGTTCCAGTGAGACAAATTTATCATGATAACCATTGCTTTTGTCCTTAACAAAGGGATAGGGTGGGAGAGATGCAACAGAAACATAGAAGAGAACAAAAATTAAAATAGGAAGAAAGTTAAAAAATGTAAAGGAAAGATGAACGTTAACAAAAGATGGGAAAATACCTACAAAACTGCGGCTAGTTTTCCAAATTCCATAATGTTTGAGTATATTTTCATTTCACGACTGGAGTCACCCTGCTTACACTGCCTAGGGATAAGAACTTTTTGCTTGCATTCTAGCTCTCACTAAAATGACTTCTCCACTAGAAAGTGCTGTTGACAGCATTTGCCTGGCATACAGCTGCCAGGACATCAGTAAAAACGTGTGCACAGCAGGCTGACAAGGAGGACTTCCTAAAGCAGGATGTTGTATCAGCAGAAGATATATGGATAAGTGCAGTTATGCATATTCTCACAGCATTTATGTCACACTATGGGAAATTAACAGCCCCTTTAAAATAAGGGAGGCACTTTAAGGCAGTGTTCCCAGTGCTGCATCACATCATTTCCATACTGCACAGATTACATTCCTGCTTCCTCCATCGCATTTCCATAATTTGTTCTTTCACATGGCAATTTCTGCTTTGTCATCTTTATTTGTGACACCTGAATGCTGAGGATTTTGGATGGTGAAATCAGCATCAAGTGACTGGATAACAATGCAAACCTGAAACAATCAATAATGACTGCATAACTTTTAGGTGCAGAAAAATAACTTCCAGTAACTGTCAGTTAAATCCACCATCTCTCAAAGATACCTGAGCTGCACAAGCTGCTTTGTGTATGGAAAAACTGATAATCATCATGTTCCACTTGCAACCCCTCCACTGCAATCAGTCAGTAAAAAATTATTTGGGATTCAGAAAGCCTGGAGCAAAAGCTGTCACTACCTGGGTATGCAAGATCTTCAACATGTAGCTTGCTGCACAGGCTAGCAGCACTGGGCAATGCCCAACAAAAATAAGAGCATGTGAAAGGGTCATCATTCACATCAGAGTGACATTTACGGCAATGATACATATCATGTTTTTAATTGTCCTTTTTTTTCCTCTACTATGTTGCCTCCGATTATGAAAATTGAAACTGCTATTTTTCTCTAGTTACACAAGTCCCAGCTGACCTCTGGAGAGGGAGACACATGATAATTTGCACCATGAATTTTATGACAAGGTGAATGGAAGGTCATTTTTCCCTGATCAAGCTATTACACTGCCAAGACTGAGTTGTCAGATGTGCTCCTCAAGGATCCCAGACTTTAAATTTAGATGACATACTGAGACCACCACATAAAGATTGAATTGCCTCTCAAAACAACGTAGACCAATAGCAAGGAACCCATCAAAGAATGGCAACAACATGGATATTACAAACCAAGCATTTCTATTGCTATTACATCATGCTGTATTTTATCTGATACTCTTATCTGATATTCGCAATAGCATTAAATAAAAAGTGCAAGGATCACTGGCAGCTCAGGGAGTATAGGGATACTATTTGCTGATTTGGAGAAGCCTGTTACAATAGCAGCTTCCAGAGCATTATCAAATGCCACGTGACTGAAGTTTTAGAAAAGGTGCACCTGCCTATTATGCTGTAGTCATAGGAGCGCTTTGTGCTCTTGTGAGCAAACAGGACTTGCCTTGTAAATTTATTTTTGTTACTTTTTAATTAGAGGACAGAGCTACCAAGGATGGATGGTCCTTATTTTGGAAGTTTAAATACACAGTGATTTTCACCAATAAAAGCTCAACATATGTGGCAGTAAAGGGAAAAGAGCCTATCTGCTTTTAGTAGGTAAAGGCAAGATGCATGTGTCAAGACAAGGTACACATCAATATAGACTACTTCATATTTCCATAGTGATAAACTACGGTTTGTACTCTGGTAATCAGTGTAAGAGACTATAGTTCCAGCCTGGAATAAATTATCTACAAAGAACAGAACAGTGACTGATAAGAATTTAAGAATGAAAGTTTTATTCCATATTGCTCCCTAGTCTGAATTTGTTGCCTAAAAACTGTTATGCTGATTTGGTACTTACATGTTTTAGTCTGTCCTTGCTTTGATACTGATGTGTTTTAGTGTGTCCTCAGAGATCCATTTTTGCATGTATATGCTTATGACCACACCACATTGAAAGTTTCTGCTTTCCCTCGCTTCTTTTTCCTGCAGATCAAGGTTGGCATTTCCACAAGTATGTGGATGGTGTGGCTCAAAGTGCAAGACTTCGTATAAACAGCCATTCCCAAGTAGATATATAAACTTAGCACACAGGAAATGTCAAGGAGCGAAGTCTGAAGTTTTCCTATGAAGACCACCAGAGCAAAGCAGAGACCTTCTTTGTTTCACTGGTGTTAACAGCTTCACATATCAGAAGTAATTTAGGGAGAATATCCAAGAACAACATTCCATAGTTGAGACCAGTGGGATGGGATTTGTCTGGGTCCTCAGTAGATGCTGTGCCAATTTAAACACTGTTAATTTATTATGAGCAGCAGTGATGCAAGCAGATGTATTATTCATAAGAAAATCAAAGGCCCAAGGAAGAGGACCACATACAATTACTTATTTCAGGTCTCTTTGCAGCAGAGAACAGTGCTAGCCAAGATGCTCTACAAACTGGTAGAGTCAGACTACAAAGCAATCAGATTTATGCTTAAAGACAGACACTGCAAGTTCAATTACTTTATATTTAGAGCAGGAGATGGACTTACAGAAGACCATTTATAATATCATATTTACGTTCAGTTGACAGATCATTTGCATAAGGTCAGATAGGCTGAATGCAAGTTATAGGGTTTTAAGAAAGATCCTTTACCATCTTTGTACATCCTCAGGTGCTACTCAAAATGCAACATATGTTAAGTCTTCTTGAACTTGGCCACTGGTCTCTCTAACACTACAAAACTACAAATATAACAGCCATCTAGCCTCAGTTAGACTCTGAGCTTATAAAAATGTCAGTTCTCAGTAAGCTACACTGAATTTACAATGCATAACTAACGTTAACTTCCTAAATCTAGGTCATTATGAAGAATCAATTGAAGGCCAGTCAGATGATCACTGAAACCAGCAGCAATGGAAAGGAGAAAAAAGGATGGAAGGAAAAAGAAGGGGAAGAAGCAGAAAGAGAGGTTAAGTTCTTGAAAGTGGAATGAATGAAAAAAGATGAGGGGTGTACATGCTTGTGACTAATTGTAGTATAGCCTCTAAACACAAAACTTCTACAGACAGGCCTTGCTTTAAGCCTGACTCTGTTGGTTCAACTTCATCTATAAATTGACACAAGCAAGTTAAGCAGTTGTGCACCCACATAATTTGGTTCAATTTGTTATCACCACATCAATTTAACTATGTGATATAAAGAGCAGGTTTAGAATCATGCCTAAGTAAACTTTGGCCAAGCAGCAATTATCATCTGGGACCATGTTCCATCCCCAGCATTTTTAAAAAAAAAAAAAAAAAAAAAAAAAAAAAAAAAAAAAAAAAAAAAAAAAAAAAAAAAAAAAAAAAAAGAGTAATTTATTGACAACAGATTAAAATGCTCTCTGGAGCAAAGAACAAAGTGCAGACCCTTCTCCAGACAGAGACCCCGAGAGTCATGCTTATATGATGGAATGCTACCTAAGTGAAATTAAGCAAGGTAGATGATGTCCTACAACCAGCCTCACAGAGTCTAGGTGGTGTCACAGGGAGGTGGATGCTCTCATTGTCAGATTATCTGTGTTGAAGGAGCAGAAGCTGCTACCTGCAATGGAGCAATCCCTATTTTGAGTCTAACAAGACTCAGTTCCTGAAGAGATTTCAAGAGTGTGAATCCCAAGCAGAATCAGATATTTACATCTCTGAGCCTCTCAACTGGAGGACAAATGCTTATGTTCTCACCTTTCACTTGTGCCAGCTTAGGTAGTTCTCCAGCTCACACTGATTACCATTCTAAGGCACTGACTGTTTGTTTTAAACAAATAGCAAGTTTAGCTACTTAATTCAGGGATGACAATCTTGCTTCCAGGAGTAAGCATTGTAATGCTGAATATCATGGTATCTTTGTGCTTCCATTTGTAAATCTAGCTAAAGATACTAATCCACAAGCAAATTAAGTGTCAAACAATGCCAAAAGACAAACATCAGTCAACATTTACATCCAATTCAGTGTTGAAAAGAATACAAAACTACCCAGTACAAACCGCATCTATGCTGCAGCCAAACACTACTTCCAAGCATGCAAGAAGTCTGCCAAACAAGGCAAGGCATTTGTTCCATGAAAATCAAATTAAGTACAAACAGATATTGTAATACCATTCCACTCAAATACCTGACAAGCTGGGTTTTAAAAAGGTACAGACTGGACTTTCCACAGTCAAGATAAACACAAACACTAATCTTGGGTTTCTAAATATATTGTTTATTTATAGTTAAACTTTAACATCTGAACAGAAATCTACAAGCACACAGGAATGATAGTTCAGTGATGTTTCTGTTTAAACTGAAGTCCACAGTAGCCACATGTTCCGGTCTTTGTATCTTTGTCCTGCAAAAATATAAAAATACAACTGCTAGTTTCACTTTAGAAAACTTCTAGAAATTACAGATTTTCTCTTATTTATATGTGCCATCTTAAAACAGATGTTTCAATAGCTGAAGTACAGAGTTTAATCTTATTTGACACACTGGAAGTAAGAATGATGATATGAGGGTCATGCTTGATTTCTGTATCCTATGGAGCTTCCTTTCTGCCAGTCTTTTAATTAGCAGGCCTAATCTCAACCATATAATTTTAAAGTCAAGCCAAGTGACATCTCTTCAGCAATAAAGGATCCTCTTACTGAACTGAACATCTTAAATCAGTTCAGTTGGACCTATTCCAGTGTTCTGAAAATATCATTTCATAATTATTCTAACACAGAATAGGATTTCACATTCCCAAGTTATATCTAGAAAGGAATTTTGGCCAGTAATGTAAACTAACAGTTAGTTACAGGAAGGAGGAAATTTCAGTAAGATTCCAGGAGGAATTCTAAAAGAAAACATTTTAGAGACAAGTAGTAGTTACTACTGTATAAGATTTTATTCTTATCTCCGAAAGATACATTTAAATTATTTTTTTTTTAATTTAGCAGTGTGACTGCCAGCCACTGTTGGGTTCCTCTTTAACGTGGCAAAAGACAAGACAGTTAGATAAACACTAAAGGATCTTCTGTTATTTAGCAACATGACTATTTGCAGACATCAAGTGAAGTAAACTCATGGTTCCCCTTCTTTAATACAGGATTAGAAGTGAAAATTCCAGACTACCCTCCACCCCTGAAAGCCTGAATTTCAACAGGGGAAACAAACTGGTCTAATACCATTCTCTCCTTACAGACATTAGCTTTCAAGAATGAAACCACAGACATCTTGTAATTTGATTGTTAACACAAAAAGATCTCAAAATTCACAAAAGCATTCCTCAAGGAGAGCATGACACAGGTCAAGCGTATCAACATAAATGCAAGAAGTTACCTGAAGACTGAAGAACACAAGCTTCCCAAGTCTTATGAATTATAACTGCCAAGCATTTGACTTTAATGTAAAACCAATCATTATAAAGTGCTTACTTTATTCTAAAATAGAAATGCTTGTGATTACAGTTAGGACTTGCAACAACACTGACACTAAAGGACACCAGCTCTCCCCTACCGTTCTTTTGGGTATTAAGCAAATGTCAAAGTTGAAGTGAGCAAGCAAAGATTTTAAGACATGCGCAATCAGGGTCTACTTGAGACCAGTACCTAAACAGCAGGTCATTGTTGATTCCACCAAGGCCATATGACAGTACTACTCTCTAGAATACGAATACACTGGAAACTATCTCTACTGTCAGGGTAAACACAAAGATTGTAAGACTTTTATTCTTCACTGATTCTCCAGTCCTGATGGAAACTTCATCAGAAACATCAAAACTGATGGAAACCTTCAGAACTACCAAGATTCTCAATGACTGGAAGAGTTTTGTTGTGGATTTTTTTTTTTTTAATTAAATGTACAGGATTCAAAATAAATTGCATAATCTTAAGAATACTGAAAATGTATCCTCAATCTATACTGTAACATTTAAACAATTAGAGTAATTTCCCAAAACACAGCTATCGTATCATTTTTTGCTCACAAGGCACTGCTTGCTCAAATTATTTCATAGGGCCTTTTTTTTTAAAAAAAAAAAAAAAAAAGGATTGTCCCATCAAACAATCAAGAGCAAGAAATGCCTGGTAACCTCAAATGGAAGCCCTCTAGCTCTTCTGAGTAGAAGTCTTAATTTTGTATTAGATAACAAATACAATTAACCCCTCAGGTGGTAAATCCATTTACTTTGTTAAACTAACATGCCAAAAAGTAAATGATCTTAAAAACAAGAACTGGCAGGCAAAACACGCTATACACAGATCAAAATATATTACCAAGTTTATGTACACTTTAGGATGTCCCAAAGCACCACCACCGCCATCACATGATATCACTCTGCTTTCAACTTCACTCACAGGCTGCTCTGCTATCAAATCAATCGCAAAATTCTTGTTCACCTGTAAGAGAGAAAAAAAGCTTTCAGATACCTCTCCCACTCAAACAGAAAGCAATTGCTATTTGCCACCTCCCCAAGCAGTTCCACTAGTCATCTTGAGAAGTTGCTGCATGTTTCCTCCCACCTCCTCCACCAATTCTTAGGCTGTGCTATAAGCCAGATCAGTGAAGGATGTTAAACTCTGCAGAAGTAAATCCCATCCCCTGATACACGGGCCACATCAGTGCTCAGGTTTACAACATGACCTTAAGCAGATTCAGCAGAGGTGAGCAGGAACAAGCAACCGAAAACAGAAGATATTTAACTGACACTGCCTCTGTATTATGCTTTAGTGACTACATGATAAAATTGCAAAAGACTCACTGCTGATAAACTCAAAAATAATGGTGGGACAAGTAAGGTCAGGAGTGAGATAAAACAACTGCTGGTAATTTAGAGCCTCTCACCATGCACCTTATTCTATTGCTGCACAGGAACCTCAGGAAAACATGAACGTGGTGTGTAACAGACAGAAAGTCAAATTGTTCACCATTAGAAAAAAACCCCAAACCTCTAAATGTCACTACATCACTCTGTATATCTATCTTGTACACACTTCCTGAATATGCACATCACTGACCAAGTAGGGCTTTTTCCTAGAGCACGTCTACATGGCCTGGCAAACATATCCACCTCCAGACAGGCCTGTGACGCAGCACCTTGTGCGTCAGGAGGACCTACAGCACCCAGGCACAGTGCTTCCCTCCCTCATCCACACCAGCCTCTTCCAACACGGCCTGCGCCAGTGCTGGGCAGACAACCAACCCAACCCCTCAGGTAAACATGATTCAGGAGGGGCCAGTTTTTCAAAGGCAATGTTATACACATGAGAACATAAAATATGTACACTTGAAGACCCAAAGAAGGCACTACAGTAGATAAGGTTCATAAATATGCTGGTATTTGAATGCAGATGAGATTCTTAGGGAAAAGATAGCTAAGTGTCCATTAAATGGATCTCTAAGAACTACAATGGTATTTTTATACAGTTTTAGTATACAGCAACTTTGGATTTTTCACCAAGCCTCCAATTCAGTCCCCCCAAAATTTGCATTTTTGGTATAGCAGTGGAAAAGTCAAGTTTTGGCAACAACTGGATTTTCTTTACTTAAAGATGATGATAGCTAAATAAAGTGAACGAAAAATTAACTTTCAGTATTGAAGCAAATTGGCAACATCAAGAATCTCACTGCCTGGGACCTGTGTCCTCAAGTCTCATGTAATCTTTGCCAGGCTGCAAGGATTTTTACTGCTGCTTTTAATAACGCTCAAAAGTGCACATACTTTATTTCATGATAAAGGAGGGATACACCACCATGATGCACCTCTGCTTCAAGAACAGAAGCAGAACTCCACTCTTCCCAACATTTCTTAACCACAAAGGTATTTGTGGGGATGGGGGGAAGCAAGAACCTATCACCTACTGTACAGCTACAACCTGTCTGTGCCTCAGCCAAACAAGAGAATCTAAGAATTTGCTGGGAAAACATGCCAGAAAACAAACAGACTGAGAAAAACTGTGAGAAAAAAAATAGTAGTGGTTCAGTTACATCGTATCCCTTCAATTAAAGCACAGCGTTAGTTAGCAGGAAGGGGCTGTTTCCCTCAGCACATCCAAATGCTCCTTGCCAAATGTATAATTCAGTGAGCAATTTTTTTCCTGGCTGTAGTGCCAGTTTGACAATCCCATTGCTGCTTCTCTCCACCTACTCGCCTGTACCAGTACATGGTCTGGGAAGCTGAGAGATAAAACCAAACTTGGAATTGACCCAGGTCCAAAGATCCAGAGAGAAGGCAGGAAGTTATACTTAAACTGAACCAGCTCTGAGATCAGTTCTCATAGCTTCCGCTGCTGCACCAGCCTAACAAAAAGGGCAGAGCCAAAGCAGGAACAGTGGTGTTGAATTAGGTCCTGTGGTAAAAGGGCAGGATATGGGGGATGCAGTTTGACAGCTGCCATGCTCAATTTTCTCACATCTACTTGTTTTAGGCCCTTGCCAGAGATCACTAATCTCCCAGTTCTGTACATCCAGCACAGAGAACAATGATTTTTAGCTAAAACACATGGATTTCATTAACAATTAGGCTGGCAGAACCAAGAAGGACAATAACTCTGGGCCATGCCCCCAGGGCTAGCCACCACCCAGAGAGGCCATGTGCAGCAGCCAGGCATGGGCCCAGACATTCTCAATGAGGGCATCTGCATCCAGAGGCTGCATCCCCAGACAAGAAAGCTGCTGACACTGGACTGGGCTGGTCATAAGACAGATTCAACTATTTGGATCGTACTGAAGACAAAGAGAAAAAGCAACCAAGAAAGTAGAGTCACCAACTTCACAGGCTAACTTTACCTTCAGAAACAAGACAACATTCAGACTAGAGACACAGGTGTAAAATGCTAATACTAGCAGCTGAATCACACTGGGTGATAATGGCAAAGCCCCTAGAGAGAGATCCTGTTAATAAGTACAAATGAAGATTGCTTTAGTATTTAACAAGTAAATTTTGTTCCACTTCCACAATTAAAACTCTATCACCACAGAGTCTGAAATCAGCTGCTGGCAAAGGCATATCAGAGGGACCAGTGCCCTGTGGAGAATTAGGGTTAAGGAGCATTTCCTACAAAGTTTCAGAAGTAGCACAAAAACAGGTATTGCATTTGGGAGGGACCTACTTTGCCATTACTCTCCTAGAAGTAAACTACTTTAGCATTTTAAGTGACATTTTCATTTAACCGTTTCCCATGTGGAATCCCCATTTTTGACACACAACATGAATTAAATTGTATCCATGATACAATGAGGTAAACTCAATACAAAACCTCAGAAATCAGTATAAATAAATTAGTTCAGTTTAATTTAGGAAGGGAATAATTACAGTCAACTACATTAAAAATCTACCACACCTTATATTTAATGCGTCTACTACACATACACATTTATAGCATTAACACTAAGGCACTAATAAGATGCTCAGGCATTGAGGAATACAATTTATCTGAAACAATCTTTTTCTCTCCCAAAGGCCAGCAGATCCCTCATGGAGCTGTGGTGCTCGATCATTGGAAAAAGCTTGATGTTAAAAGACTTAAAATTTCACATTACCCACTCTACTGATAAACAGCAGCAACAGGCCTACAAGATAATTCACAGTAGCACATTTGGCTAGTGGTAGTGCTACTAGACTCTGCCTTTGAGGCTTCATTTTTTCAGACCACTCTAAGTTTTATTTGTTACTTCACTAATTCAGCAAATGCTTCCCAGGCTCTGGAAATGGCCATTAAAAACTCAGTTTGGGTTAAAAATCAAGATTTTAACTATGCAGAAGCAAAATAAGCTTCAAAACGCACATTTAAACAGATATATAGATGCACAATTCAGGAGAGCATTTAATGATGGGATTTTTCTGAAGACAAATGGCACTAAAAACATGCTTCAAATTTTCTTGAAACACATACTTAGCACAAAAAGTGGTACAAGTTTAAGATGCTCAAATGCCTACAACTTCCACAGCCTAGACGTAAGGACTTAACAGGTACAGGACAAGACTTGAATTTTACAAATTTGCCAAAAGTAGGGAGGTACACAGAAGCTTCTATAAACTGTCTTAAAATAATATTTTTCACTCTAGTGAAAGCAACACTGAAACCCAAAATCCAAAACAATTTGGTTTTGGTAGGATTTTTTGTTGGTTTGTTTTTTTGGTTTTTTTTTTTTCTCTAAATGACAGTCAAGTTGAGGACATCAATATCAGGCATAAAAAAACCCCACAAACCACCCCCTTTCCCATAAGTAAAAGTAGAATGAGTTACCTCCTTTTGTCGCCCAACAAATCTAATTCTTCTGTAATCCTTTTCTTCATATACCTAAAGTACAAAATAAACTTGATCTTATTTAAAAAGTAATGACCATAAAGAACACAAAGGCTTACAACACTGTCAAGACTAAAGAGCTTCAATATTTTCCTCAGTTTCCATCATTTTACAAGTATGTACTGCACAGAAAAAGCAGTTTCAACTTCTCACACGGGAAAATAAATTTTAGATTGGAAAGTGGAAAAGAAAAGGAGGAGTGATGTGGTGTTAAAGCCAGTGATCAGAAGCCTTAGCTCTGACCATAGAGGCAAAGATAAGATTTATGACTTATAATACTGTTCCTTGATCCCACACTGCCATCTGGAAGGTGAACTAAACTAAAAAATTCAAGTTATATACTTATTTACGTTCAAGTCAAGTAACCACGGGGAGAATGTTCCTGCCTTAGCTCCACCAGCCATGCCTCTTCCACGTCTCCGCCAGCCTCCCTAGTCCGCAACGCTCAGTTTATGCATTAAGGCACAGACAAACGGGAGTTACGAGGCACTGACAGGAGGGTACCTCCAAACCCGCCAACTCTTCGGCGGTGTCAAATGCCGGATCGAAACCACAACGCCCGGTGACGGGAATGACCCTGTTCCTAATTAACAGTTGTCCTTCTGAAGCCGCGCGTACCTTCTGCCTACGTGCCGCCCAAGAACACTAATTCCGACAGCGCGCACTGCCTGAAGAAGCGCACCAGCGGGCTGCCCCGCCGGGACACGCGGCCCGGACGCGCCCGCCCTCCCCGGGAAGCGGAGGGGCAGCACCGGCCCCCAGGCCGCCCTCCTTTCACCGCGGCCCCACACGCTCACCTGCCCCGTGTGCGTCACCAGCTCGCCGGTATCGGCGGCCCGCACCCCGTAGGGCCGAGCAGCAGCCACCGCCGGCGGGCGGCGCAGCAGCGGCAGCAGGCGGCGGAAGGTCGCGCCGGGCGCCGCCATCTTAAAGC